CCTGCATGCCTCCTTGTCCTGCACATTCCACACACCACATCATTTCCTTTGTGATACCAAACTCTGTATCTCTCAAATATGAGGATATTTAAGAAACATAACCATTGCCAGAGTATCATTATGAAATATTTTTAAAACCCCAAGAATTCCTAAAATCAGTTTAACATCCAGTCACTATTAAAATTTCTCTGGCTGTCTCTTCATTTATTCTTTATAAATGAATAAAGTTGGTTTGCTTAAGTCAGGATGCAAAGTCCATGCATGGTGCTCTGTTGTTCTGTTTCTCAAGCTGCTTCTTTTCTTTTTCTTTTTGTAGAGACAAAGTCTCATTTTATCGCCCTCCATAGAGTGCCATGGTGTCACACAGCTCACAGCAACCTCCAACTCCTGGGCCTAGATGATTCTCTTGCCTCAGCTTCCCAATCTTCTTCTCTTTTTTCTTTTGAGACAGAATCTCACTCTGTTGCCCTGGGTGGAGTGCTGTGGCATCATAGTTCACAGCAACCTCGAACTTTTGGGCTCAAGTGAGCCTCTTGCCTCAGCCTCCAAAGTAGTGGAGGCTACAGGTGCCAGCCATAATGCCTAGCTAGTTTTTCCATTTTCAGTAGAGATGGGGTCTCACTCTTGCTCAGGCTGGTCTCTAACTCCTGAGTTCAAGCGATTTACCTGTTTTGGCCTCCCAGAGTGCTGGGATTACAGGTGTCAGCCACTGGGCCCCTTTCAAGCCTCTTCTTATCTATGAGCTTCCCTCCCTCTTTTTGTCTTTGATGTGGATTTTGTCCTGTAGAAGGCCCACATTCTGAGTTCGCTGGTTGCTTTGCCGTGTAATTATCCCTCTGATCCTCATATTTTTGATATATTGAGAGTTAGGTTTAGAGGGAATCCAGACTCTTCTGCTTTGCGACAATCTGTCATGGACAGTACTGTGCACTTCCTGTGGACACCAGGGTCCCTTGCCTCTTTTATGGTGATGTTAAGATTGAGCAGTGGGTTCAGGTGCTGACAGCCAGATCTATCCATTCCAAAGCTCAGCGACTTTCACCATTGATGGTGAATACGTAGACTTACTGCTTCGACAGGAGACCATGACCTTTTGGAAGAGAAATTTGAATTTTGTTCTTTTATTAGTTGTGTGACCTGGGGATGTCCTTTCTTCTTTCTCCCATTTATTCTCTCATCTACAATAAACCCTAAGTTAAAGGATTGTTTCAAAGATCACATAATATGATGTATATGAGGGGAAATCACAGAACAGAGCAAATGAAAATAGGGGCTATTGTTTTGAGCTAGAAGAAATTTTGAATGACCTTTCTCATTTTCCTAATAGACAAGTTAAGCCTTAGAAGGTGAAAGTAACTTATTCTGGGTCAAATGAATTAAGAGGCAGGATTTGGGTGGGATGTGTGGTCTTGTAACTCCCCATGTGCTCATGTTTCCCACAGTGTCTAACAGAGCCAGGCTGTAATGCCTTCCTCTGCCAGCAGGTGATCCCATGCAACACGTGTTATTTATTCATTTCTTCACTCTGCAAATACTAGTTGCAAACCTTTTCTTTGTAGCAGTCCCTGGGTTGTTCTTCATTCTGACTTTTTTTAACTTTTAAAAATCTGTTTTATTTTTGTAAGTCTTCAGAAAATTGACTTCTTTGTGTTTTCAGTGGATTTAGAATTACATTTATTGACTTTTGTTTACATCGTGGAGCTCCTGGATGTCTAGATTGGTGTGTACCTCTAATTAAGGCCACATGGTAGGCAAGGTGTGGTTGCCAACAATAGCTCTCTCCCCACGAGGTGCCTATTTGCTGACACAGGAGAGCTGAGTGCACAGAAAGCTGTCAATAAATTCTTGATTGGTTGATTGATTTGCTGGTTGCAAAAACACAAGCTGCTGTTACTCCTGTAATGTGGGCATGGTTTTTTGTTTCTTGTGGTGTCTGTGTTCTTTTGGCCATATTAGTAGTCATGTGAGTGCACTGCCCATTCCACAGGCTCGTAATTTTTTTTTTTTTTTTTTTTTGCCGTTTTTGGCTGGGGCTGGGTTTGAACCTACCACCTCCAGCATATGGGGCCAGCGCCCTACCCTTTTGAGCCACAGGCGCCGCCCATAATTTTTTTTTTTTTAATCATAGTTACTGTGAGTTTTCCCATACCCCTCTTCCAGCTCTGTGGCTGCCGTGATTATACGTGAACACACACACACACCTTCTGGGGTCATTTATCCATCTGTACATCCACCTCTTATCCATCCAGCCATCCGCCTGCCCATGCATCAATTCATCCAACCTTTCCTTCAATGCTCATTCATAATCTAGTTTTCCATCATTACACATCCATCCATTCTCTTGTTACTCTCTTTCTTTCTACCTAGATATCTAGATGTCTAGTTATCTCTCTGATTGGAAAACAGTCCTGGACACCTGATTGGCCTGTCCTCGGCATTAGGAATGGAACAGGCAAAGTCCCTTGTCCTCAAGGAACTTGAATTCTGGAGGATGAGTGGACATCTAAACAATGCTAATGGCTGGCAGCCAGTGCCACAACATAAAAATAAGTGAGGGCAGAATGCTCTGGGGCCACAAAAGAGGGACAACTCACTGCTTGAGGGTCTTGGGGGGACTTCTTCAAGAAGCTAATATTGAGCTGGGTCTTGGAGAATGAATAAGGGTTCATCAGGCCTAGAAGTGGGGCCAGGGAATCTGAGAAGGTTTGCTGTGTTACATTTAGTTAGCCCCTTTTCCTCTGTGGGGCGTCTCTCCACCCAAGAACCTGGACAGACTAAGCAGTCAGTGAGATAATCATCTCTACTTGACCAAAGACACAGGAGGGCCTGGCTCTCCTCATCTGTTGCTGCCTGGCACTCCTTGCAGGGCCCTCTGCCTGGAGACTCTTTATGAGATTACCTTGGAGTTTAGGTCTCTGGAGGGTAGGGAGTTTCCTCCTGCTTCTTTTTTCCCTAAACAGAAAGGAAGGATCAGTCAGGGGCTCTGGGAACTTCTGCACCAAAATACATTCTTTCCTCTCTCCCTCCAGGGAGGACACTTGTGTCTGTATGATATTTTTTCGCTGATGCCCAGTCTTGTGAAGCCAGGAGTTTCAAACTCCAGGCCTGCAAAGGACCAAGAACCCTGGTTGGCTGGAGATCACTGGCCTCAGCTGACTCAGGCGGCTGCTGCAAGGTTGCCATGGGAGGGGGCAGGGCCCAGCGTGGCTGGGTATTCTGAGATTTTGAGACAAAGCCAGAAACTGCATTAGCGTGTGAACTCTCCTAGTGTTGAAATCCTGGCGACTAATTAAAAACAAGCAAACAAAACCCCCCCACACTATGAAGGATAAATCAAAGCCCATCTGTAAGTTGGACATGGCCCATAACACCCCAGTTTGCACATATCATAGGAATGATATGTGCAGACAGCACCAGGCTCTGGCCATGAGGCCACAGAGAGAGCCAGTGATCCTGGGCTTCAACTGCCCAAGTTGCAGCCTCATTTGGCTGAGCGAGTCCCAAACGCTGTAGCCTGGCTCCACAGAGAACCCTGTGTCTGACCATGGCTGCCCCTGCTGGTCTGCAGCCCAGCAAGTTAAGCTGCAAGGGTGGGCACAGAGCTGAGATGGGTGTCTTCCTCTCTCTCCAAGGCAGTGGTCCCTGGAGCTCTGCTTCATCTCCTGACCTTCATCTTCCTTCCTGGTGGTGTCCCACAGCCCACCCATGCTGGCCAGGGGCCCTGGAAGTGCCCAGGGTGGTAGGTGTCTAGCTGGGCAAGACCTTTGTTTGAGAGCATGCCCAAACAGTGCTGGCCTTGGGGTCCACGGCTCAGACTCAGCTTGCTGGGAGACAGGGGCAACGGAGCTGGGGCTGCTACTGCAGGGCCAGGAGTGTCCCCTCCCTGCAGAGAGCTGATCCTGGGCCTCTCCCTCCCTTGGTCCAGCCTTTAATCCCGACAGGCTCAATTGCCATCTGGTCTTCTCTCTTGCAAAGAGGCACAGGGTATTCCTGGCTAATCTTGGCTGGTGGGGGAAGGGAGGGGTGACCTTTATGTCCATGCTGGTGACCTGGAGGCAGAGCTGAGCTCCTTCTGCCCCTTAGCTTTCCCAGCAGTGTGTCTGTACTAGAGTCGTGTGTGGAGGCCAGAATTGGGCCATGTCAGAGCCTGGTTCAGGGAGATGGGTTCTCAGACACTGTAGCTGGGGAAGTTGAGGCCTGTAGCTGGGGAAGTTGAGTGCTACAGGCCTTGCTTAGGCCAACAGTGGATTTTCTCAGCCCCCCTCTACCCAGGTCCCCCCTACCCCAGGTCCCAGTGCTGGGTGAGGCTGTGACAGAGCAGAGCTGTGTCTGCACTGTCTCATTCAGTCCCTGCAATAGACCTGATGCCAACAGGTGCAGCCAAGGGAGCTGGAGTTCAGAGAGGTGTGGTGCCCTGGACTCACTGCTAGTCAGCAGCACTGCCAGGACACCAAGCTGGCCCTCTCCGGCCCTGGAACCCTGCTCCTTCCACTGCACCACACTGCCTTCCCTCTCAGTCACAGCCTTTGTGGAGCTCTGAGTCTCCTCGGGGGAGAGAGGTATTACAGTTGGCCCCAAGGGCCGGAAGAGGTGGGATGAAACTAAAACCATGGCCTCTGGAGCCAGATTTGAACCCTGGCTCTGTCATTTTTTAGCTGTATAACTTTGAGCAAGTTGCTTAACTTCTCGAGGCTCCAATTTCCTCACCTGTAACATGGGGATAATAGTAGTGCCTTCCTTGTTGGAGCCAAGGAGCCTGGCATTCGGCTAACCACAGTGATTTGTAGTGGTGGAGAATGGTAGCAGGAATTCAGAGTGGGGGCTCTTTGTGGCCCAGACATTATCCATTTCCCTACAGCACACAGGGGTCTACCCGATCCTGTCCCGGAGCCTGAGGCAGATGGCAGAGGGCAAGGACCCCACGGAGTGGCACGTGCACACGTGTGGGCTGGCCAACATGTTTGCTTACCACACACTGGGCTACGAGGACCTGGATGAGCTGCAGAAGGAGCCACAGCCTCTGATCTTCGTGATCGAGCTGCTGCAGGTGTGATTCTGGGGTGCATGGGATAGAGGGCTGTTCCTAGCATCTGAGAGGGACCAGGGGCAACAGGGACCATGGAGACCCCCAGGAAAAAGTTCTTAAGCCACAGCAGAATAGGAATTTGAAAAAAAGAAAAAAAAGTCCTCTGCTCCCCCCTCCCCTCCAGGAAAAGTTCATCTGGAAGCAATTTTTTAAAATGTGACTTTTAAGGTATTTACCTCTACTGGTTATCTACTTTCATTTTTATTTGAAAAAGTTTGGAATTGTAACCTCATCCTTGTCGCCCCCATGATTTGTGGGTTCAGACATGGTTCTCGCACAGTGGGAGATGCTTTGTGGAACTATCCTCTTACCCCCAACTCCATGCTTAGCTAGCCCATGTTTGAGGTTGGTGGGAGACAGTCAAGGCCAGGTCAAGTTCCGGTCAGAACTTTGCTCATGGCCAAGGCTGAGGCTCAGTCTGGGGCAAATAAAAATATAAAAGAGAACTGTGCCAACCAAGGGCCTCTAGAGGCCCTGCTGGAAGAGCCGTGTGGTCCATGCGCCGCAGAAGGGCGTCTCCTCCAAGGAGCGCTCATTATACACATTGTATATCCATGTTTTTATAATAACAGTTTTCCAGCAGATGGCAATGGAGTGATCTGTTCTAAAGAAATAGGTATTCACGGCTTTTCTGAATATTGGAAACAAAGTGTCTTGACAAAGATGTCCCTTGTTCTAATTTACAGAGAGGCACTGACGTGGGGCAGGGCCGTGAGCCTGTGGCTCCCTTCCCCTGTTTGTCCGTGTCTGACCAGCCTGCATCATGTTTTGGCCCAACCCCACTGTGGAAAATGCAGAGCTGACATTAGCGAGATGTGCTTGGGTCCGCTTCCTCCGCTTCTTGCTGGGGTGCAGGTAGCACCTGGCATCCTTGCCTCCCTGACCTGCAGCTCTCGGCCAGGTTGAGGCCCCCAGTGAGTACCAGAGGGAGACCTGGAACATGAACAATGACGAGAAGATGAAGGCGGTGCCCATCCTCCACGGGGAAGGGAACCGGCTCTTTAAGCTGGGCCGCTACGAGGAGGCCTCCACCAAGTACCAGGAAGCCATCGTGTGCCTGAGGAACCTGCAGACCAAGGTGGGGGGCTGTGACCAGGGGCGGGGAGTGGGGAGGGCCTTGGAGGAGCGATTTAGCACTGGTCACGCCTGGACGAGGTCGGGGGCGTCCTGAGCTCAGCGCAACCCTCTGCACCCGGCAGGAGAAGCCCTGGGAGGTGCAGTGGCTGAAGCTGGAAAAGATGATCAACACCCTGATTCTCAACTACTGCCAGTGCCTGCTGAAGAAGGAGGAGTACTACGAGGTGCTGGAGCACACCAGCGACATCCTGCGGCACCACCCAGGTGTGCAGGCAGGGCCGGGTGGATGCAGTGGGCGGGACGAGCTGATGCAGTGGGCGGGGCCAGGAGGACGCAGTGGGAGGAACGAGGGGGCTTCTTCTCTGGGGCTACAGGGTCACCTGCAAAGACCTTCCTGGACTTCTCTTCTGAGCCCGTCCAAGCACCAAACCGTGTCTCCATCCAGCAGGGCTTTCCCAAGTGTGTAACCGCATGGCAGGTGATGGATGGGATGGGCAGTGCTCGTCCTAGGAGGTCCTTTGTTTTAAGGTGTATTGGACAAATAGAGAAGTAGCTCCCCCAAGTTGGGATTTTAGTGGAGCAATAAACAGGCTTTTTTTCAAAAGGGGGAATCAATAGGGGAAAATCATAAGTCAATACTAGTACCTGTGGTGCACAAACATGGCCGTGTTTGTGAAGATGGTATTTGAATATAGATAATAATTGCAATGTCAACACTTAGTACTCTCCACTGCATTTATTATCTCACTTAATCCTGCTAATCCTCATAATCACAGTGTGGGGTAGGTGCAGGGATAGGGCCTGGAGTTTATACAATTTTAGGAGCCTCTATAATCATGGTCCCCAACTGTTTTGACACTGGGGACCAGTTTCATGGAGGAAAATGTTTCCACAGACTGTGGTGGGGAGAATATTTTGGGGATGATTCAAGCACTTTACATTTATTGTGCACTTTATTATTATTACATTGGAATATGTAATGAAATAATCAGATGATTCACTACAATGCAGAATTAGTGGGAGCCCTGAGCTTGATTTCCTGCAACTAGGCAGTCCCGTCTGGGGGTGATGGGAGGCAGTGACAGATTATCTCTGCTAATGATCTGCTATTTGCACTAAGCACAACTGCTTCAGCTCCACTTCAGATCAGCAGGCATTAGATTCTCATGAGGCGTGTGCAACCTGGATCCCTCCCATGCCCAATTTACAGTGGCGTTTGCTCTCCTATGAATATCTAATGCCTTGGTCTGACAGGAGGTAGAGCTCAGCCTGTGATGGGAGCAGTGGGGAGCGGCTGTAAATACAGATGAAGCTTTGCTCAATAGCTGGTACAAGCCTGTGGCCTAGGGGTTGGGGACTAGCTCTATATGATACAGAATAAAAGTTGTGAATATAAAATTAGTTACAGGGCCTTGGAAGGGTCCCTGCAAGGGAGGGGAGGAGGTACTGCTGTTATTATCATCACCATTTTACAGTTGAGGAAACTGAGGCACTGGAGGCACAGAGGTTAAGGCTCTTGTAGGCTGGGGTGTCCCAGCCGGTGGGGGCTGTCCATGGGTTGGGCAGGTGGACAGCTGAGTCCTCCCGCAGGCATCGTGAAGGCTTACTACGTGCGTGCCCGCGCTCATGCGGAGGTGTGGAACGAGGCCGAGGCCAAGGCGGACCTGAAAAAAGTGCTGGAGCTGGAGCCCGCCATGCAGAAGGCGGTGCGCAGGGAGCTGAGGCTGCTGGAGCTCCGCATGGCGGACAAGCAGGAGGAAGAGCGGCTGCGCTGCCGGAACATGCTGAGCCAGCGCGCTGGCGGAGGCTGGGAGGCAGCCCAGCAGCCGGCGGAGCAGTCCCCGGAGACCCCCGAGCCTCCCCTGTCCTCAGAACAGCCCCCTGAGCCCCCTGAGCCACCCCTGTCCCTGGAGCATCCTCCCGAGCCCCCCGAGCCGCCCCTGTCCGCGGAATAGCACCCTGAGCCGCTCTTGTCCCCAGAGCCCCGGCACTGATTTCTCTGCCACAGGCACCCGGGTAGGAAGTATACCTCCTGGTCAATTCTGGTTCAGGTGACAGGATTTTGGTGTCACTTTTTAAAATTTAAATTAATTTTTAAAATCAAAGTCATGCATGCCCATGGTTTAAAAAAAAAATCACAAGAACACAGAAGGGCTTATGAATAAAAGTGAAGTTTCCTCCCCCACTCCTCCCATTCCTTAAGCCTGAACTATTTTAATTGCCCATTTTTTAAAAAAAAAATCTGGTAGTTTTCGCTGTCCCCACGTGATATGTTTAAATCCTAGTTCATCCGTGTTTCATTTTTACCTCATGTCAATGAAAAATGAGGATTGGATGCTGTGACCCTGTTTCACCCCTGCCATCTCCCGTTCTCCCCATGTTGGACGATTTTATTTAAGGGTGATCTTTTGGTTATTTTTGTAACTTTATACACTGCACCTAGAACTCTCTAGAAGCCAAAGGACTTTGGTGGAACTGGTGACTCCCTTCTGTGTCAGATGAGGGTGGTAGAGCTGGGACCCTCCTCTCCTCCCTCTTCCCTTCCACCTCTTACCCTCCTCCTCCCTAAAGGTCTAATGTGCTTAGTTTTCCATCATCCTGGTTGTTAACATCTACCTTCTGCTCTGTAACCAGAAACTCTTCTGTGCTTTGTCCATAGGTTGACTGTCAAATTTGAAAATCAATAAACAATATCCACATGATTATGGCCTATGGCCGGGTAAGTGTGTTTTCCTACAGGGCCTGCTCCATGCTTCGATTGCTTTTTTTTTACACTTTGGTTTGAATTTCAGGACCCCTGGGCCACCAGAATGAGAATATTCCTGGCTTCTGGAATTGCCTGTGTATTTTAACATGGCGATGTTTTCCTGGCTAGAAAGTTTGAAGTTTAAGCCCTCCCCTGCCTTGGAGAAAAGGGGCTTTAACTTTTGGTTGATTCAGGCTCAGTGTCCACTGGGCCATCCAGGTACAGTGTGAAGGAACCAGGTGGGAGAGGAGGTTTTAGAGATCAGAGGGAGAGCACATTATGTCCCACAAAAGCAACAAGACAGGAATGACCTTCATGAGGCCAGAGGGAGTCCCATGAGCTGAAGAAGGTGGAGTGGAGCAAGGGACAGATGGTGGGGGCAGAGAGAGGAGGGACCTTCACTTGGCCCCTCCTGGTAGCACTGCTGCATAGTGTCTGGGCAGTTAGAGACTCACGTGTGGTTCAGGGCAGAGACAGAGCCTGGCAAGGGTCTTTATTTGAGGGCCAGGGACTATGGCCTGTAGCCTCCCTTTTCCTGCCCATTGTCTGTATGCAGCTGCCCTACCAGCCATCCCTTCTCTTGGGACCAGCAAGGATCCCATCTTATTTGGAGTCAGTCTGCAGACTGCAGACCTCTCAGCAGGACTGATACCCAAATGTACTTTTCAGAAACTGCTACATCTAGCACTTGCCTTATCAGGGCAGAGGAGGTGGGAAGAAGATGCAGGGAGAGACGCAGGCAGCCTCTTCATCCAGGGCTCTGGTCACTGCATGGAATTCCTTCTGCACCCTGAAAACTAGCCTGGAGGGAAGGCCAGCCTGGGCAGGACTGGCCAGGAGGATGCAGGTTGCAAGGTTCTTTGCCAGAGGGCTCCTTTCCAACAGATCGAGCTCCAAGGCTTTGCTTTTGAGTGGCCAGCAGGGGGCAGAAGAGAACAAGTCGCTGGTGTTGGGAGATGGGCTCCGAGTGTCCTCCCAGAAAGCAGCTTTGGGCTCTAGTTGTGGCGGTTCTGCTGAGCCCCACGGTCGTCCCTGACCCCTACAGGGTTGCTAGGTCAGGCAAGCTAGTGACAGATAAGGAGGTGCGTAGAACCATGGAATCAGGCTGCCAGCAGACTAGGTCCTCAGAGACAACTTAGTCCCTTGTACAGACAGGGAAACTAAGGCTCAGAGAGGGGCAGTAACTTGCTAAGTCACTTCAAAGCTGGGTGGATCCAGGATTAGAGACAGGTTTTTAGTGTCATATTTCCAGACTTCTGGGCTGGGGTTTTTTGTATAATGCCTGCTGCCTCTTTCACCAGATAGCCCATACGTGGGTACAAAGTATTAAAAAACAAGTAACAGAAAGAAAGGAGAAAAATGTGAAGCTTATATTAGGGAACAACCTGGAACATGTTAGTAGCCTTTGTTTGGGAGCACTTAGAGGGGTCAACATGAGGGGTGCTTGTGTGGGTTTCACAGGCCCCTCTCACCTGATTCCTCTCTCCAAGAATCATTCCCAGCTATGAGCTACCATTGTGACCTCTGTTTTGACTGGAGTTGACAGGGACCCTGAGGCCGGGGTGTCATTTAGGAGGGTGGTAGGGGGCTGGGTGACCTGAGGGAGCACCCTGAGCATTGGGCAGGTCTATTAGTTTTCTCTGGCTATTGTAGCAAATCACCTACCACACGCTTAATAGTTTAAAACAGCACAAATGTGTTCTCTTATAGTTCTGGGGTCAGAAATCCTAAAATGGGTTGGCAGGGCTGAGTTCCTTCTGGAGGCTCTAGGGGAGAGTCTGTTTTCTTGCCTCTTCCAGTTCCTGCCTGCAGTTCTTGGCTTGTGGCCCCTCCCTCCATCTTCACAGCCAGCTACACAGCATCTTCCAATCTCTCTGTGCTCCCCTACGTCCATCATCACAGCACCTCTGTGTCTCTCTGACCTTCCCACCTCCCTATTGTAAAAACTCCTATGATTACGTTGGGCCCACTGGATAATCCAGGATAACCTCCATCTCAGTACCTGTAATCTAAACACATTTCTAAGTCCCTTTGCCATAGAAGGTAACCTATCCACAGATTTGGGGGATTAGGGTATGGGCATGTTTCAGGGGCATTCTACAGCCTGCTACAGCTGGCGGTTCTCCATTGGTCCCCAATCTGTCCTCTTCCTTGCCCGGGAGGCTTGGCATGTATTTCAGCTCCCTTGCCCTCTGCCCTCTGGTTGGATTTGGCCAACAGGAAGCACCAGCAGGAGACCTACTAGTGGGATGAGGACATTTGGGCGTTTGTTTATCCAATTCCCTCCTTGCTGGGCTGTGGTTTGGCAGCAGCTGTGCTCTTGGACCTGTGGTTACAACAGTGTCCTGGACCATAGCTCTTACTGGGCTCTGAGCAGAACTGCCTCCTCCAGGTCCTGCAGGCCAGCACCCAGCAATGGTTCTCACTCCCGCCAGTCCCCTGTACTCACCATTTCCTGTTGGTTCCTGCAACTCCTACACTTTCATTCTGCCTCTGTGGCTACCCCTTTTGAGTGGGCTACCTCTCTTCTGCCAAGACCCTGCTCAATCAGGTATCAAGTCTCCCCCAGGCTGTGGGGAGGAGAGTAGAGCTGAGGCCAGTGTGGCCAGGCTCTCAGCAGCACACCTAGAATTTGAATCCAGGCCCATATTCCACAAATGGGCAATAGAGCCAGCCCTTGCCTGCTCCTTAGGGCACAGCCCCCCTTACAGCCTTAGCTGAAACCTCCACTGCAGAACCACTTGCTGTGAGGAGGGCTCAGCCCAAAGTGACATCTAAGGCCCTGGTGTGCGTCTGAGGTTCAAAAATATGGAGAGGAGTATGGCGCATGCCCAGTTACTGCTTGTCACAGGCCAAGGCACCTCCTGGTCTGTGAGAAATGACCAAGCAACCTCAGTCACATGGAATTTAGCAAACAGTTCTAATTTCAACAGCACGGGCTCTGCAGGAGGCTTTGTGGGAGCCCCGGGGACTAATAACAGCACCCCTTTTCGAATGACCCTTCCCACCTTGAGGGTCTAGTCCAGCTCAGGAAGGGACCCGGCTTGCTTGGATCATGCAACTGAAGTAGCTGAACATGGAATTGACACACATGAGTTGGATCTGAGGCTTGGGGTCCTTACCCCTGCAGGTCCAAGGCCTGATAAGTGGCCGAGGTGAAGATGACTAGACCAGAGTGTTGCCTTTCTTTTAATTTCCTGCACGGCTAATGCTTCTATGAGTGTGTGTGGGGGGACTTGAAAGTGAGGGACCACCTGGGCCTCCCCTGTGCCCTGATTTTCTCCAAATAACAGAACCTCACCATGGAAAGTGAGGTGGCCCTAGCCTCACCAGGTCACCTGTGATGACACTGCTGAGGTCCAGGTTTGGTTTCTCTGACAGCTGACACAGGGATGCCTGCTTGCTACTCTTTCTCCCTGGACCTGCCAAATTTTGTACCTGGAGACTCTGTCTTGAATTTCACCTTGATTGAATGGCCCGTGAGTGGCGGGGGGGGTCATCGTGATTACCTCAGAGCACTTGCTGATTGGGAGGGAGGCTGCTCCCCACTCAACTTTGTTCTCCATCCCCGCCTCTCGGGGTTTCAATGGGAAGGTTAGGTAAACCTGCTTTCTTATTTATGGCGGTTTGGAGTCTGCAGAGTTCCTGGCCTAATTACATTTGCTCCATTACTCCAGGTATTCTCATTAGTGCGAGAATCTGATGAACAAAGAATCTCGCCTTTCCTCTTGCCACCAATAAAAATATCATTTGAAGATGTAGTGGAGCATTTGTCTTTCCTGAGCAGTCTCGGGGCTGGCAGCTTTTACTGAGTGTGACAATCTCTGGAGGGCAAAGAATTTCATCTGTTTTGTTCACTGCCGTATCCTCAGGAACTGGAACTATGCCTGGCCGGGACCAGGGGTTCAGAAATATTGGTTGAACAAGTCAATTTCTTCCTAAAAACATGTCTCAATTCTCCATTCTTCTATGTGCAAAGAGCTTCAGAGATGGTCTAATCCAGCATCTTATGGTGCAGATGGGGAAACTGAGGTCCAGACCA